CCCCAAAACCCCAAAACCCCAAAACCCCAAAACCCCATATGATGGACATAGTGATATTTTTAATATATGTATATATGAATAATACTTTATGGTACTTTAAAAATTTCAATGTGCTTAAATATAATGTGAGCATGTGTAGATAAGATGATAGATTCAATTTCTTCATCTTCTTCCTCCGACTTGAGACCAGTTGTTGATAGCAAGACTTTCTTTTTCAGAAGCAACTTTAGCCTTTCCAACTTCCTGTCCATCAAAGTTTAGGTTGTATTTATCTTGGACTTGGTTAGTTGAGTTACCGAAAATCTCTGGATTGTTGGTCTAAAGATTTTGAAGTTTGGTAGCTTTGGAATCAATATCTTTTCTAGCTGGGCTTCTTACAGCGAGAGTTTGTTCTTGAGTAAAGTTTGGCTTCTTCTTGGAATTTTCGGTGTGATCCTGAACTGCATAACCAGCCTTAAGGAATTGAAGCTTCACATTGTCAACCTCGTCCTCACCTCCAAGTCTCAACTTTATTCTTCCAGTTCCAACGCAATTGTTGGTAATGGCATCTTATTCCACAACAGCTGAGATGACATGCTTGGCTCCAGAGATTTTCTTCAAATCATCAGCTTAAGTATGAGCTGGGAGACCCTTGACATCTAAGTCTACCAATACGGTCTCTCTATCAGCTGCGTTATAGTGATTAATGGTGTTTCCTGTTCCTAGTACGTCACTAGAAAGATCCTTTAGCTTTGTAGCCATTGAATGCTTTCCTGGAATTGTTACACTAATTGAGTTATCTTGCTATTCAGTTTATCTAACTGGAGAAGCATCATAGTTGTGAGTATCAAGAGAGGATTTTAGTTGTGAGTGTTTTTAATCCTTAGTATTATAAGTGTTTTAATCTTTCTTTTATGATTTTCCATCAGATTAAGACCAAGTGTTGTTTGGCCCGTTATCATTGTTCTTAAGACCAACATTTCTTTGAGACATTGTGTTTTGGCCCTCAGAGCCAAGAATATCTGAATAAAGATGATTTTACTTTCTTTGATTATCTGCTAAGTTATTGATATCAAGCTTTGGTTTGTTCATTGGCTGATACTCGGAGTAGTCAGTCAAATCGAACACTTAAGATGATAACTGAGCTTGCTTCTTTTTATATGGATCTTGCTTATAACCCTTATTAATGATTTTAGCTGATCCAGCTTGAGCAGTCCAGTTGGCATCTGTTCCAAATCCAGCTTTCTCAACAGTTGGATCATATGTTGGTTGATTATCTTTCTCTTCTTGGCAGAAGATATTCGATGACAGGTTATCATACTTCTTATCTTTGTTTGTTTGAGGTCCCTCCTGATTTCCCTTCTGGCTTGATGAAGCGTTGACGTGAGTTTGCTGTAAGTTTCTCCAGTCAGCATTATTGGCCATTAAAGTTCCATCCTTCTTACTACCTGTTCCATATGTAGCAGCACTTCTTCCATGAAGTTCTTCGTTTTTCCTTTGTTCAGCAGTCTTTTCCTACCTTACTGGTTTCCATTATTTGCCCTCTTTTTTAGATGAGAGAACTGGCATGGCATTAGATTTATTTTCAAAATCAATTCTGTCCTGGCCGAATAGCGTCTCAACGCCAGCATCCCCTTGACCAAGCTTCTTCCTTCTGCTTTGCTCAGTAATTGGACCTTCAAACACAGTACTTTGCCATTTTTCCTCCTATCTTGATCTTGATGGAGGGCGTTCAGACTCACTTGGACCATTATCTGAGGTGAATATTCTTGATGAGAAAGTTGCAGTCTGTCTCAATCTAACATTACTATCCTAGCCTGAGGCTGAGGATTGAATTGTTGGGTTATAATCATCTTTGTAACCAAAGATATTGGAGTCTTGATAAGAGGCTCTTTAAACTTTAGTAGCGAGCGGTTTTTCCTAGAAAATTTTATCTCTTTTAAGTGCATTTTTATAGTCGTATGATGCATCTTCTTGAGTCATCACACTTGACTTGAAAGTGTTGTTCTGTCTGATATTGACTTGGTTGTTTGAAGCGCCAGTGGAATCGTGTGAGAGGATATCTGTGCCATACTCTCTTAGCTTTTATTACTTGGCTATACTCATATCTATCTTTATTTTTATTGACAAATAAAATTTATTAATTTTCGATTTAAATATGCCCATATATAATACTTTTCATAGATTCTGCTGCTTATCATTAAGTTTTGATAAGTTTGATATATTATTCACTTAATTATTCAACCAACGATAAAGCGGGGTTTTGGGGTTTTGGGGTTTTGGGG